TAGGGTTTTGACCCTTTTTTGCAATTAATTAAAGATTAAGCCTAATTACTAATTAATTAATTAATTAAAAAAATGTTTTTGTGTTTTTTATGTTTTAATGAAAATAAAATAAAAGGAATTAAAATTTTCAAAACCCTAATTCTAGACTAATTTTATTTATTAAGAAAAAGGTTTAAATTGCCTAATTAAACTAATTAATTAATTATAATTTATTTGCAAAAAAATAATATGAAATTAATAAAAATATTTTTTAGGTTTTTCTGAATTTTATTTGTGAAGGAAAATAATTAATTTACTGGTGAATAAAACAATAAAAACAAATAAAACAAATGAAAGAGAGAAAATAATAATAACAAAAAATGCAAACTCAAGGGGGGGGGGGGTTTGGGCCAAATTTGAAGGTGCTTTTAGAAATCCTGGGCCCATTAACTCTCAGCCCCGTTTGACCTTTTTTCTTGCCTATGTACAGGGTTGACCAGGAGCATGGTATGCTTCCATTCTGACCATTGGATTGATGATGGTGGCCACATGGCATGACGTTGCTGGAGGCATATGGTGGACTATTCTTTGAAGCCTGCACACAATTGCATGAAGAAAAATAATATGGAAATTATGGGGGACCTGGGAATCGAACCCAGGTCCCAGTGATCATTTGCCAGCGCGTCCTTCCACTGATCCACTTGCCTTCATTTGTTACAATAATAGGAAATTAATATTATATGAAATAAAGAGCAATATCCTGGAAAATAAAAGATGCACGCGTTTTGTATTTGAATGGGCCAGTGGCATGATTCCACGTACTTCGTCTTCCTCCTTTTTCCTGTAAAAACAAAACAATTAGCGAGGGTTTTTAACCCCCACAACCTGCATCAAGGGAAAATAGCGAATAGGCGCACATGAAATAGAAATTGTTCGCGAGGGTCTCAATGTCTTCGTCTCATTCAGACGGTTTCAACCATGGGTCTTTCAAAGCCTAATTTTTCCTATATGAGAAACCCCCAATTCAAGAGCTTGAAAACCCTAACATTCATCCATGGTGGTTTATGATTTAGGGCTCTACAACTCAATTATCTTGTACCAAAAGTTTCGTACAGTCCCTGTGAACACAAAACACTCAACAAAAAGCGTTAAATATGCATGAATCAATGTATGTGATTATGAAAAAATTTGACAAACCGTGGGTCTGTGTAGCACGTGTTCTTGAGCTTTGAGGCTTGTTTTGGATTGCAATGTGTTCCTGGGAATGCTAGCAACGTGTTTGAATTGCTCTAAGGCTTTGAGTTGGTCTACAATATGAAAAACAGTTTTGACTTTTTGCTTGATATTTTTGAATATGGTTTGGCCGTTTGTGCAGCTTTTTCACGTGAACTGTATTAGGTTTGGGTTCAGCATATGTATGGGAATAGAATTAGGTCAAAGTTTGGGCTTGGGATCCATTGTATTGATGTCTATAGATTTTTTGTTGATCACCATTAAAGAACATTCCAAATTTGAAGCAAAACCATGATTTTATGCACAAAATAGCCTAGCACGAATTTGGTAGCTGGCTCATGACACATAAGAGCTATTCAAGTCACCAAGATGCCATTCCATTAATTCTTTGATTTTATTTGAATTATTATGGATTTAAAATGAATTAAATCAATAAAAATTAAATAAAATGGAAAAATAAATGTTTGATCTTGAAATTAATCATGGGACACGTGTATGGCATGACAAGTCTGAATCAAGTGGAAGAAAATGGGCCCTTTTGTCAAAAATTGAAGTTTTAAGGATAGTTGACTTTTGCCATTTCACAAAAATTTCCCAACTTCTCCAATGCATATCTTGCTCAATTTTGATCATATGAATATGTTCTTGTACATTTTGGAAAGGTCTTGAAGTTCTCTAACCAATGCCTTTGGTCCCATGTCATTTTGATTTACCAATCTCAAGTTATGGTCTTTGACTTAAAATGCCTTTTTGTTGACTTTTCAAATTGACCTATAATGTAGAAATTGATAACTTTTTGTGAGAGCATTTCTTGGACTTGGAATGTGAAGATGAGTTGTAGGAAATGTCCTCCCCTTCAAAATGAGCATTGGATGGGATTTTTCTGATGATCCATGAAAAAGTTATGCCTTGGTCAAATTACAGTTGACTTTTCAATTGTCCAAAAATAGCAACTTTTGCATCTTTGATGATTTTTGAGCCATTCTTGTGGAATCATGATCAAGACTTGATCAAATGATTATTGTGGCTTCAAAATAAGATGTTGACCAAAAATTATGACTTTTGACTGTAAAATGACCATTTTACCCCTATAGTTGACTGTGAACCAAATAGGGTTTTTGACTGTGCAACTTGACCCTGTGAGCCTTGAAACTTGGCATGTAGATGCTTGACAATGTGTATAGGCCTATGGGACTTGATTGAGCCCTTGAAAACCTCAAATTCATTGAAGGAACCAAAACCCTAATTTTGACTGGCTTAGGAGGATGTTTGACTGTGCAACCCTTGAGAAGTCTTGAAGCATTTGAAGATTGATCTTGATAAATCTTGAAGAATATGGGAGGGAAAATTTTGGGGTACAACACTATCCTTGAGTATTCCTTCTCGCTTTTTACGGTGTTCTCAAGACTTTAACCCCTTGGCCTCATAAACACTCGTGAATAAATGGCTAATCTTTGCAATATGGAATCCATACCATTTCTGAATGGACCTTGGTCCAAGAGTCTTGCACTGATGATAATGGATGAATAAATCTTGATTCTTAAATGATGTTTGAATGAATCTCAAAACATCACTTGAATCCAATTTTAGTTCTCAATTCAGATCCAAACCAATTTTCACGACAAGAAACAAACAATGGACACACTATTAAAGGCCTTTGTAATTCGAGTTTTTGATGGTCCACTCGATTACATTTTGAATTCAGATTATACTTTAAATTTGTTATCCATATGCACAAATTCTATTTCACAATAATGAAACCATTCTCTACTTCACTCTTCAAATTCAAGTCAACTGGAAAATAATCAAGAAGTTAGAGAGATAACAAGGAATTGATTACAGAGAACCCCTAAACTCCTACCATGTTGTATTACTCACTCTTTAATTAACAAAAAATCTTGATGAAAATCCAAAGAAGCACTTACTTATCTGACAAGTATTATCACAAGAAGATAACCATAACTCAATCTTCTAGCCCTCTTGAGAAGAGTTGACTCGTGGTGTAAGAAAATAAGAGGAACTCTAAATGACGTCGGTGAAATCATTAATAAGGAGACAATGATGATCCTTGTAGCCTTGAGGACAAAGCCTAGCATGACAAACCTTTGCTGAAGATCTAATACGAAGCACAAATATATCATAGGAGAAACCCTATTTCTTGACCTTTGACGACCATTGCTGAAGAAATGACCTTGTATCTTGAGGAACTTTGCTAGCGAAGACGTCTATGTTGCTTGAGATCCAAAGCCCTAATCTCGTACCAAGAATGATGAGAGCGCCAGTTGAATCAACATGAAGAGTGTAACAACCTTAGTCCACAGAGAACAACCCAATGCCAAACTCTTCGATCCTGTAACCATGGGGCCAATGCTATGTATGAGATGTACAGAGTATGATGAGGGATCTTAGGGGCAAAAATTGGGGTATAAGAGATACTCTTTGCATACTTTTAAACCGTTATATATCTTGAGCATATTCTTACCCCTTTGTTGTTTGTGGTGGTTATGTGCTCCTTCTTTGGGTACAGACAAACAGGTAGACGAGTAGCTGCTTTATATATAAAGGATGACGTTGATCTTATTCTTCCTTTTCTATTTATGTGTTTTAGAATTCAGTGCTCTGATCTGTAACAATGAGTGGGGGAACGTTTTTGAATTATTTTATTATCATTTTGAGTTGTTGTTGCGAGAGTTAGATGTTGTAACTACTGATGTTGCACGTTGTTTGATGTTGAACGCATTTTGCTATAACTGACTTTTATCTTAAAAAGAGATTTATTCATGAAACTTAATTTATTGTTGAATTGTTTTGTTCAATTAGTTCCACTACCATAAACATATATAAAGGCAAGCATGTGATGATAAGTGTTCACAATATATTACGTTTTATTTAACATGTGTTACGAAGAAGGTTTATATTGTGTTTACATGACAACTTATGTGTTCAGTTGTTTAAATTTGTATTATTATGCGTTAGGATTTAGAGTGTTACATAATGGTATCAGAGCAGGTTGATTCGTCCGACCAAGTTTTATCATGTTGTATGTTGCTAATATTTCCACTGCATGTTGCGATATATCTTCGTATTGTTGAAGGGTTGTCGTTGAGACACCTTAAATTATCAATTAATTCAATAAATATAAATTTTAGGATTTAGGATGTTACATCGAGTATTTCCGAAACTTTCCTTTAAATGCGAGATACTAATAACTTAGTTGGATCAATGTATAATCTAATAGATTTTAGAGAGAATTATGATCCTGGAAAGGATCTCATTCAAATTATTATCTCATCTCATGTTATTTATATCTTTTACATATAAGAGGCAAAGGGCAAAGAAATGACTATTTGCTGGTTGATCAAGGACTTGCTGCCTATTTTATTTGTGTTTTTTTAATCGACGAAAAAGCTCTAAATTAAATAGAGGTATTAGTAAAGTTATCAATACAGCAAACCATTTTTTCTTATAAAAAAAGTCATACATTATTAGTAATTAGCTTACTATTGGTACTACTTGAATGTTGGATAAAATATCCGAAGGAATGGATTTAATAAAAAGCAGAAAATTCAATAGAGCTTACCTTGGTTATGTCATCAAAACTAATTCTGGTCATTATTTGCAATTTTAAAGAGACTTTTCAGTTTAAATAATTTTCCACACACGGCACTTTAGTTTCATAGTAATTAAGGTCATGTTTGTGATATAAACTTGCCTCAATTCCCACATTCTACTCACAAAATATTATCTTCTCATCCTTATTTGTAATTGTCTAATTCACTCCCAAAAAAATGTCTCTCAAGAAAATATCACTATTGTCTCTCTTTACTCTCTGCTTGATATCTGCACAGGCCGCGAGATTTGACATCGTCAACCAATGCTCTTACACTGTCTGGCCAGCTGCCACTCCAAGCGGCGGCGGTAGGCAGTTAAACTCAGGCCAAACATGGAGTATAGACATCCCAGCTGGAACCTCAGCGGGAAGAGTTTGGGGTCGAACTGGTTGCAGTTTTGATGGCTCGGGTCGTGGTAGTTGTCAAACTGGTGACTGCGGTGGTGCCCTAAGTTGCAGCTTATCCGGTAAATCTCCAGTCACATATGCCGAATTTACCCTTAACGCTGGAAACAACCAGGATTACTTTGATATATCTGTGATTGACGGATTCAACATTCCATTGCAATTTGCTCCAACCTCTAACGGATGCAACAAAGTACTAACATGCCAACAATATTCATGCCCCGATGCTTATCAGTTTCCCAGTGATGGTACTAAACTAGTTTCATGCCCAGGTGGTACCAACTATAGAGTTGTCTTCTGCCCTTGAAATATATAAATAGCTCCACCACGCTTTTATGTTTCTTTCTACTGCCAATAAACAACATGTAATATTTTGTCTGCAATAAACTATATTGTGAGTATTGCTTAGTTTAGACTTGAAATTAATTACAAATAATTTCTCGTCAATGCAATTTTATGAAATAAATAAATGAGAGCTTATATGGATTTAGTCATTTTTCTGTCTGTTACTAAATAAATGTAATATTTTGTCTGCACTAATACTAGTGCTAGTTATTTCATACTTGCACCATAGCATTTTCAATATGAATTTATTTCAAATTACAGATTCTCGGTATATGCGCTCCATCGGTTCTGAAGCAAAATTTTAATATAATTATCTTAAACAATTGATAAGAAAAAAAAAGCATAAGTGTAACGAATAAGTAACGTGACGCTATTATTAGTGTTGAAATTGCTATAAATTTTTACAATTGGCAGATGAGCTTAATCGAATACGATATCTAATACACGACCCAGAAAGCAATCAAGGGGAGTGTATTAACTGATCATTTGGCTCATCAGGCCGTGGATGACTACCAGTCCATGAATTTTGAGTTCCCGGACGAGAATATTATGTTAGTAACTGACTATGAAGAACCTGGACCGGATGAAGGATCTGAAGAATGATCCTGATGGACTATGGTTTTTCACGGAGTTTCGAGCGCACTCGGTAATGGCATTGGTGCTGTAATCATATCTCCTGAAGGTTGTCATACTCCTTTCACTGCGATACTATGTTTCAACTGTACCAATAACATGGCGGAGTATGAAACATGCATCATGAGTCTCAAGACTGCTATTGACCTAAGGATCAAGTTCTTGAGTGTATTCGGGTATTCATCTTTGGTAATAAGTCAAATCAAAGGCGAGTGGGACACGAAGAACCCGAATCTCATCCCTTACAAAGAGCATGTGCTGACATTGCTTCCACAGTTTGAGGAGGTAACCTTTGAATATTTTCCACGAGAAGAGAATCAGTTAGCGGAGGCGCTAGCTACCATGTCCTCTATGTTCAAGGTCAGGTGGGACAACGAGGCTCCTTGGATCACTATTGAGAGATTGGATGAACCAGCGTACTGCTACGAGATCGACACGGAAGGAGTAGCAGACTAACCTTGGTTCTATGAGGCAAATAGATATCTCGAGGCTCAAGAGTATCCCGAGGGGGCATCTGTCAATGATAAGAAGTTCCTGAGAAGGTTCGTCGCAAAATTTTTCCTCAGTAATGGAATCCTCTACAAGCGCAACCATGACTCTACTTTACTTTGGTACGTAGACAAGAGTGAATCGGAAAGAATTATGGCAGAATTACATGAAGGTACCTTCGGAACCCATTCAAGTGGACATACCATGGCTAAAAAGATCCTACGAGCAGGATACTATTGGTCCGCTATAGAAGTAGACTGCTATCAGCATTCATGAACTTACCACAAATGCCAGATCTATATTGATAAGGTGCATGTACCTCTGGTTCCTTTGAACGTCTTGACGGCTCCTTGGCCCTTTGCAATGTGGGGCATTGACATGATCGGAGAGATTATATCTACCGCTTCCAATGGGCACCACTTCATCCTGGTGTCCATTGATTACTTCACGAAGTGGGTCGAAGCTGGCTCTTTTGCTACTGTTACCAAGAACGTTGTGGCGCGATTTATAAAGCATACCCTGATATGTCGGTACAGTGTGACAGAGATAATCATCACAGACAATGGTACAAATCTCAACAATACAATGATCACCGAACTCTATAAATAATTCAAGGTCCAGCATCATAATTCTTCCCCTTACCGACCGAAGATGAATGACGCTGTTGAAGCTGCAAATAAGAACATTAAGAAGATCATACAGAAAATGATGGTGACATACAAAGACTGGCATGAGATGTTACCATTTGCTCTTCATGGTTACCGCACCTCAGCGCGTACGTCAACAGGGGCAACACCTTATTCTCTGGTATATGGTATGGAGGTTGTCCTACCAATTGAGATCCAGATCCCTTCTTTGAGGATCATGAAGGAAACGGGTTTAAATAAAGACAATTAGATCTAGACTCGACTTTATCAACTAAATATGATTGATGAGAAAAGGCTTACTGCTGTCTGTCATGGTCAGATGTACCAAAAACGGATGATCAAGGCTTTCAACAAAAAAGTCAGACGTCAGGTATATCAAGTGGGTGATCTAGTAGTCAAGCGCATCATCCTGCCGCAAGGTGATCCCAGGAGCAAATAGACCCCACATACGAAGGGCCATTTGTAACCAAGAATATATTTTCTGGTGGAGCCATGATTCTAACCACCATGGATGGTGACGACCTTCCCTACCATATGAATGCGGACATAGTGAAAAGATAGTACGCATAAATAAAGACCCTCTAGGTCGATTGGCCTAGGCAAAAATAGGGGCATCCCGGCGAACCAAAAGGGTTCGGGTAAAAGTTAGGGATAAAAACAAAAAAATTTGTATACCCGGCGAGTCGAAAACCTGAAAGGGCGGCTTGGGCAAAAAAGGGTATCCCGGTGGACTGAAAACCCGAAAGGGCGGTCCAGGCAAAAATTAGGGATTTAAGGCATATAACTATGTCCCGTTGGACCACCTTGCGATCAGACTTCAATATCATACTATCAAACTCAAGCAGTACTGATCAATCCAGTCAACTTCGAACAAGCAGCAAAGTGATGAGACGCTCGAAGGCATAAGAGCAATAGCAGAATTGAAACTCAAAGGGATCATTATACATAGTTATTTTCTCTTTGTATATAAATTTGTATAAATTCTTCTTGTGACAGCATTTTCTTAATAGAATGTCTGTCTCCTTGTACATAAACGCCTTTTATAGGCAAACTTCAAAAATCAATACAAATCAGTTTTTGAAAGTTCAAAACTACTTGTTTTCTATTTTTCTGTTTTGTTTTGAAAAAACGTCCAGTGATTATTTGTGGCATATGCATATTGAATATAATTACTGTTTGCAAATATTTACATAAAGAACAGAAATACAATTGCTAATGGCTTAAGGAACGAAGCAATGTCTGAAATCCAGTCCTAGTCTCTACAGTTTTTTTCCCAAGCAGGAATTACCTTCTCCAGCAGAATTCCTCAGAGATTTGAAATCCATGTTTTCCAGTTGAGTATATTTTTGTCCCCAGTAGTTTATGAAACCTCGTCCCCGCAGAGTAAAACGACTGAAGTTTGACCTCTCATTCCCCATAGAGCTTTATAATCTCCGGCAGCTTTCAAATCTTCATCCCCATTAGAGTTTATTTCTCTGGCAGCATAAGATCATCCTCAATAAAGTTCCTTTTCCCTAGCTACCGAATATTCCCCAGTAGATCTCCAACAAAATTCTTTTCTCACTATGGAATATTCTAACAGAAGAATTCTTCTCCCTCAACGGAGCACTCCCTAAATAGAGCATCTTCTCCCTAGTGGAATATTCGCAAGCAGAAGTACTAGTCTCCCTACAGATTCATTCTTAAACAGAAGACAAAAAAATACCAATCGAGTATTCTCAAATAGAAAGAGGAAATCCTCAACAAATCATCTCTACTCATCATCCCCAATGGAAGTAGAAGAACCGCTTTTTCTACAACAGTCAGGAATTCAATTTCCAGTACTCTCCAGCAGCAGTCAGGGATTTATTTTCCCAGACTCGGATATGTCACAATAGCATTTCATGTTCATACATCATGACGTGCACATACATATTGCATACAACATAATCTCATTTATTTTGAGAGCGTCATCACACAATGCATTTCATGCATCGCATATAATTAATCTTGTACCTTTTCAGGAAAAATGGTTATCATCAACAATTCCAACAGTTCAAGGTTAAATCTATGAAGTTATACATGTCATATCTGCAGACAACTAATGGAAAATCAGTTCCCGAAACCAAATGGGTCAACCAATCTACGTGATTAAATGAGGCATCCCTACCACCCAGGATTTATTCCGAAGCAGCCCTACTACCCAGGCTTTATTCCGAAGCAGCCCTACTACCCAGGCTTTATTTCGAAGTAACCCTACTATCCAAGTTCCTTCTCACAACCCAACCACCCAGGCTAAATTCCGAAGCAGCCCTACTACCCAGGCTTTATTTCAAAGTAACCCTACTACCCAGCTTTCTTCTCACAACCCTACTACCCAGGCTTTATTTTGAAGTAACCCTACTACCCAGGTTCTTTCTCACAGCCCTACTACCCAGGCTTTATTTTGAAGTAACCCTACTATTCAGTTTCCTTCTCACTGCCCTACCACCCAGGCTTTATTCCGAAGCATCCCTACTACCCAAGCTTTATTTCGAAGTAACTCTACTATCCAGGTTCCTTCTCACAGCCCAACCACCCAGGCTTTATTCCGAAGCAACACTACTATCCAGGCTTTATTCTGTAGCAGCCCTACTACCCAGGCTTTATTTCGAAGTAACCCTACTATGCAGGTTCCTTCTCACAGCCCAACCACCCAGGCTTTATTCTGAAGCAGCCCTACTACCCAGGCTTTATTCTGAAGCATCCCTACTACCCAGACTTTATTTCGAAGTAACCCTACTACCCATGTTTCTTCTCACAGCCCTACTACCCAGGCTTTATTTCGAAGTAACCCTACTACCCAGGTTCCTTCTCATAGCCTGACTATCCAGGCTCCTTTTTCATGAATTACCTGACACAGTTTTACATGGCCTTGTCCCGAGAAAGCCCTATACAGGTTCCTTATTTTTTATCTCCGGGCAACAGTTTACAATACTGTAAAACCTGGACCCGACCAGATACGTTCGATTTCATATTCTCTAGTAAGTCGCCATAAAACCCGGATTCGACCAAATAACAGCTTACTTTTGTATCATCAATCAACAGTTAATTCCCCAGTAGAGTAATGGACAATCAAAGCTCCTAGACTCTATTTCCCAGGACATAAATCAACATTCCCCGGCGAAGTCCTCCTCTACGGCAAGTACAGGAATTCTCGCAAAGAAATCTCTTA